CTGACAAATAAATAATCAGTCTATAATTTTAATGGTAGGTTTATTTGAACAGTGAGAGCCAGAATAACAACAACAACAAAAATCCAGAAAAACGCATGTCAAAAATGTTATAAATTGATTTGCATTTTAATGAGGGAAATAAGTATTTGACCCCTCTCAATCAGAACGATTTCTGGTTCCCAGGTGTCTTTTATACAGGTAACAAGCTGAGATTAAGAGCACACTCTTAAAGGGAGTGCTCCTAATCTCAGCTTGTTACCTGTATAAAAGACACCTGTCCACAGAAGCAATCAATCAATCAGATTCCAAACTCTCCACCATGGCCAAGACCAAAGAGCTCTCCAAGGATGTCAGGGACAAGATTGGAGACATACACAAGGCTGGAATGGGCTACAAGACCATTACCAAGCAGCTTGGTGAGAATGTGACAACAGTCGGTGCGATTATTCGCAAATGGAAGAAACACAAAAGAACTGTCAATCTCCCTGGGCCTGGGGCTCCATGCTAGATCTCACCTCGTGGAGTTGCAATGATCATGAGAACGGTGAGGAATCAGCCCAGAATTACACGGGAGGATCTTGTCAATGATCTCAAGGCAGCTGGGACTATAGTCACCAAGAAAACAATTGGTAAACACTACGCCGTGAAGGACTGAAATCCTGCAGCGCCCGCAAGGTCCCCCTGCTCAAGAAAGCACATATACATGCCCGTCTGAAGTTTGCCAATGAACATCTGAATGATTCAGAGGACAATTGGGTGAAAGTGTTGTGGTCAGATGAGACCAAAATGGAGCTCTTTGGTATCAACTAAACTCGCCGTGTTTGGAGGAGGAGGAATGCTGCCTATGACTCCAAGAACACCATCCCAACCGTCAAACATGGAGGTGGAAACATGCTTTGGGGGTGTTTTTCTGCTAAGGGGACAGGACAACTTCACCGCATCAAAGGGACGATGGACGGGGCCATGTAACGTCAAATCTTGGGTGAGAACCTCCTTCCCTCAGCCAGGGCATTGAAAATGGGTCGTGGATGGATATTCCAGCATGACAATGACCCAAAACACACGGCCAAGGCAACAAAGGAGTGGCTCAAGAAGAAGCACATTAAGGTCCTGGAGTGGCCTAGCCAGTCTCCAGACCTTAATCCCAAAAAAATATGGAGGGAGCTGAAGGTTCGAGTTGCCAAACGTCAGCCTCGAAACCTTAATGACTTGGAGAAGACCTGCAAAGAGGAGTGGGACAAAATCCCTCCTGAGATGTGTGCAAACCTGGTGGCCAACTACAAGAAACGTCTGACCTCTGTGATTGCCAACAAGGGTTTTGCCACCAAGTACTAAGTCATGTTTTGCAGAGGGGGCAAATACTTATTTCCCTCATAATGCAAATCAATTTATAACATTTTTGACATGCGTTTTTCTGGATTTTGTTGTTGTTATTCTGTCTCTTACTGTTCAAATAAACCTACCATTAAAATTATAGAATGATCAATTCTTTGTCAGTGGGCGATCGTACAAAATCAGCAGGGGATCAAATACTTTTTTCCCCTCACTGTAGAGGCACGCATCGATTACAATAATTCACAAACGAGAGGGCGGAAGTGAAATATATTTTTTACACCAACTTTAAACGCGCAATAATTGTTTTACCGGTTTACACATGAATAACCCTGAATGGGCGAGGTTGAAGGATGATGACGCAAACATCCCACTGCAAACGCTGCAATATATATGCGCTTTGTGTGCTCTGCGGACACACTGTAAAACCTAATTTGCATAGTGAAATGAGCCTCTGCTGCTGATGTTGCTTATGTTAAGCGATAAGGCATGCCGGTCAAGTTTAAGGGAGGATTTTTGTTTTTAATTCCTCCGACTAATTGTTCTCCAATTACTGTACAGCTGTGGCCTTACGTGCACAGTAATTAGGATGCACTCGGCCTTCGCGAAAGTGCATTCAAATCGTTGAGGTTTAATCAATCTGAGAAGTTCATACATGAAGAATGGAGGAGACAAATTCCACCTCGTGCTGCGACAAATGTTACCGGTGATCTCAGATCAGCACACAAAGGGAATGTGAAAGAACCCAACGTAAACAAGCTGCATTTTTCACAGGGATTAGAATTTATCTCAAAACTAAATCCCACAGCAAGCAGGGGTGCAAACAAGTCTATTTTTTTTTAAATCAACAGCGTCCTTGTCGATATGGGTCCAGAGTGAAAAGCATATCTTTAAAACAGGGTCCATTGGCAATCATTTAGAAACGTGCGCTGAGAGTATTTGGCTGCTATACGTTTGCACGTGATAGGCCACTTCGTTGAGCTATTATTTGTGGCCAGGTCACTTTTAAAAGGAGATACATAGCTCAGTGGGGATTACCTGGTAAAAAATATAAACAAATAAAATACTGTAGTTTAGTAGTTTATAACATCTCGCAGGTCACCTGCATTGATTCAAGCAAGCCTGACTGCTGATGAGACGCTATATGTCAAAACCGGTCCATAGTCTTGCTTGTAGTGCATCAATGTTGCCGAAAGGACGCACTACCAGAAGGCTTTTGTGAAAGAAATACTTGCGTATTTTCCACGTGGGCAGAAAAATTAAGGAGACACACGGTCTGCTTATCTATTACATTTTAATCAGGTAACAGTGAGCCCTGTACCAAATGCCCGAGCAGCTCACTGCAGGAAAGCAGGTACGATCAGAGGGCCGACATTGGGGCAGAGTTTAGAGATGAGATCCTGGCTTTGAATCTGGGAAAAAAACGCACCGGTTAAACCGGGCTATGAAGTGTTGTGAGGTGCTCGTCACTATTAATTACACATAAAAAAAAACAGAGTACAAAATCATAAAGTAAATACATTTATATTAAATTGATGAAATGTTTTGTTTAGTTAAGCAAATGACCAAAAAAAGATTAATAATTTGTTGCATTTCCATTTGACAAATGCTCTTATCAGTACATCCATTGTGGATGAGATGCCTTTCAAATTGACGCCACTTCCTCCCCTGGCTAGAGAACTCCGCCACAGGTTGTTTTTGTACATTTAAGGTGATGCAAACTCATACTGAATTTAAAATTTTACTTCTTCTTTTCAGCCAAAAGTCCCATTCGTTTTGCACCGGGTCGGCTGCTCAGATTTCCTACCTCCGCGTGCCTCTATTCTGCGTCTTTTTTTTTCACCCATCATACCCACTGTCCTCATCTCCGTTCCACTGCATCCTTCATTTCGTCCTCGGGTTTCCCCTCTTAACTCCTTCTGCTCTTCAATGGTGGCATCTCCATAGCCCTTTTCTCACTGCATCTTGTTCGTCTCATCCCAACACGATCCCAAATCATCCGAAATCTCGCTCCTCTACCTTCCCGAGAGCATAAGCAGCCTCTCCCATTGTTTGATGCACAGAAAAAAACCGCCCTGCACAGAACGTACTGCAAGGCCTCTAGAGAGACTGCACGCGGTAGCAGCATACAACAGGGTGGTGGTGGTGCAACAATTGGTGCAACGTGCACAGCATTGGCAAGGCGAGCAATGCTATCGCAGCTCAACACAAGGAACGATTTGCCAAGTTAATAATTTCAGAAATTACGACTCATGGGGACACTTTCGGTTCGACAAATTAGTTAAGACGCCGAAAAATACAAAGCGAGCCGTGCAGAAGGAAGCTGGGGGGGGGGGGGGGCAGGTGATTTGCATTTGCGTAAAAAAAGGTGGCCGGAGCAGCTCAGACGACCGACTGCTGCAATGTCGACGTCACAGTACCAGCGATGACTCCCCGGTGCGTTTGAATACTGTCTCCATTGAGAGGTAAAACCAGAATCTCTAGTTTGGAGAGTTTGCCGGTCTTCGCCAACCAGTGAAGGGATTGCACAAGAAACGCACGCTGCACAAAAACTTAACGAAGTTGAATTTTGATTTAAAGCTTTCGTGACTGCAGTAATTCATATTCTTAGCTCTTTCGGTAAAGTCACGTTGAAGGGAAACAATAAAATAATAAAATATATATAAAACAATAAAAATTCTCACGACGTTTCGACCATAACACAAACGGCCATCACTCAATTTGGCCGAATCTTGCAATTACCACGCGAGTGTGCTGTTGCCTTTAACCACGTGACCCTCCCCGAATGTGCCCAACATCTCATCAAACGTCGTAAGCCAAGCAAGGCTGGCCCTAGATAGTGATTGGATGGGTGATTAACATGCATAAGACAGGTTGTTATAGGCTGCAGGGCTCCAAGGTGTGGAGCATAGTGCAATGCAGCAAAATCGATTGTTATACAGTATTTCTATGCCCCCATGCATATGCTCCCTGCCTTCACCAATCGGCAGTCACCAGCATGAATTATGGTCAATAACACACACGGCGAGGGAAGTTCATTCATCCAGCTGTAGACTGGACACGTACACGCTTCCCATCAACTTATTACACGCATTAATTACACTGTAATAGCATCAATTCTGTTTGATTCAGCGTAATTTTAACAACCCTCCGAGCACAAAAAAACACCAATGCAGTGTACTTAAATGGGGGTTTTCCTGGATATAAAGTACATACGCAAAGATCTTTAACAATCATCTCACAATAATGGGACAACAATAGCAACCGCGATGGTGTGAACAGCGATGAAATATTGCAAGCAAGTGAGTACATACGGTTATCCGACAGGGGTGGCGCCGTGACCAGAGTGCATGGCTCGCAAACGGGGAAAGTTGGGAGTTCAAATCCTGGGCAGGGTCAACTCGGTAACGATGATGAGGTTGAGTAATGAGCTACTGTGTATGAGCTCCGGGTTAACAGTTGATGAGCACTACCTTCGCATTCGATGGAAGAGGAATCCGCTATGCAAGAACGTTTGAACGTTGTTGCTCGTTCACCCAGGCGATGACTGAAATAGTTTGGAATAGTGAAATGTTATTTCAAGGCAGGTTACTACCACAATGATGACCCGAAACGCTAAACGAGCGGTGGCCTGATGGGTGCGCAGGTTCAACGCTTGTCCGTCTCACCTCCAAGAGGAAAATGCAACTGCATGCAGGACTCGCATTCCTTTTCAAGCTTGAAGCACAAATAATCCACCCCGGGTTTTTTTTTCTCAAGACCGCAGCAGGAGGGGAAGGTGCAGCCAACGCCTAGCTCACGCCACAGCTCTTCCTCCTCCGACTTGACTTCGCACGTCACTCATCCGTACCCGCGCTAAGCTCGGAAAAAAAGTCGCGGGCTGCAAAACGTGGACCGAACCGAAACTATCGAACATTGAACCGTGAAGTTTAAGGGGCAATACCGTAATGGAGCTGTAAAGCACTAAATGCCTTTTGAGAGCGGTTGCTCGAGTCACAAGCCTGCGCTAAACGGCAGTGAAGTAGCCGCTCAAAAAAAAATGCTGCCTGCGATTAATCTCAACCTTCAAAGAAATGGGGTTCATCCGCACAGGCTGTATGACGAAAAAGGGTGCAACATTTTTTTTTTACCGGAGCTGTTCTATTTGACTACGCGCACTCACAAGTCTTGAGAAAACTGGTGCAACCAACCCACCCACCCACTCATCCAGCCGCTCCAAAAACATGCAAAAACAAAAAAGGGCCTACCCCAGCACCACCACTCCTCCTTTTGTAGCGCAAGCCACCTAACAACTCATCACGCATTCTCGCTTCCCGGTCAAACGCACCACCCCCCTCCGCCCTCTCCGTGCCCCCCCCCCCCCCATTTGGAAGGGGAGCATGATGTCACGATGACATCATGGGGACTGTCAGCCGCGGCGGCTTCTCTCCGCCAGGCCACTTGTATCCTAATGCATCGTGCGATCCTGAGCGCGCGCGCGGGAGACAACCGGTAAACGACATGGGGGCCCGGATTCACTTCGGTGAAAAATGCATCGTCGTCTTAAGCTGCTTGGCAATTTGCTCCGATTGTCGGGTGACAAAGACATCGTTAAAGCTGCCACTGATAATAAAAAGAAAGACTAAAAGCAACGCTTGCCTACCAACACGTGCATCTGACTCCAGGAAAGAAGCTTGAGTTTCCATTGAAAGGAGAAGCCAGGCACCTTTTAGCAAAAGTATAGTAGCCAATAGTCCCGCTTCTAACCCCTAGCCAACCACACTTTGCTTTTGGCTAGCCATCGAACAAAGACGGTCACTGCATCATTCGTGTTCAGATGTGCTTCTGCGGCCATCTGGAACGCTCTTCCTTTCTATATTAGGAGTCCACTGGAGCTATGCACTTTTAAATCATCTAAATTGAAAACTCATTTCCTTAGAAGAGTTTTTTGTGTTTTGTTTGTTGTCCTCCCCCCCCCCCCCCGCGCACCTCCGATGAGCACGGTTGGCTACGTACGGTGCGAAAGAAGTTCAACATACAACAGCACATATACATCGACCCGTATACCCCCTCCCCCCCCAAAAAAAACCCACTACTTTCCCTCTCCAGCATTGTCGTTGATATTGCCCAGCACTCTGTGCTCGCCCGCAGGGACACGCGTCACTCCGCAAACGTGAATGCACACACATCGCAGCATGTGTACGGCGTAACCCCCTGCCGGCCACACTCACGGGGGACACTCTCTGAACACGGACGCTGGCAAGCCACGGGGGGGGAAGGGGTGGGGATTTGTTTGTTCGTTAGACGTTAGCAGACGTTGCGAGTCAGTGTCTCCCTGCTCCAATGAGCAAGGGGGCGGCTTGTTATGTGGCCGCGTGGCCCTGTGGTTACAATGTTCACACCCCCCCCCCGCCCGCCACAATCGAAGGGCAGCAAGTTACAAGCCTGGCCAGTAAGTTGTCCCAACCCCTAAACATGCCATCAAACCAGATTAAAAACTATATATGACCCCCGAGTTCCACTTCATGAAACGGTTAATGACGGTTGCAAAACGCTCCATCGACATTAAAGTTGTGGGCTCCATTGGCGGTCCCGAACCAGTGGTCAACATTCCACATTACCATGGCAGTGGGCCAATCTCTGACGTCCTGCCAAGGAGTCCTGCCAAGGAGTTCTCATTTTTTTTAGACCCCAGAGAGATACGATTCGACCCTTTACCGAGATTTCAAAGAACACCCGATAGATCTCTCTAACCCCCACAGTGCTGCACAACTGGTAAAATGGCTGATGGTGAAATTATATGTCTTAGTTGACAAACAGGACAGGTGCTTGGGTACCGCAGAGCACAGAGAACAGTGCACACATGCAAATGCTGATTTCTGACACCAGGGTCATGACCCAGAGGGGGTTGTGGGAGGTTGTGTGTGGGGGGTTTTCTAGACGTGTTCACGTGGACAGGAGTCCTGCCAAGTAATGCATGTGCATGCTGGTGTACATGTGCATGCTGGTGTACATGTGTGAGCCTGGAGGATGAAGTACGGAGCGGCAGTGTAGCGGTTAGCGTGCTGCGCTACGAACCCGGCAAGCCCAATACTGTCAAGGCTAATGGGGGGGATCTTTGTCGGGAAGATGCTACCAACCAGTTGGTGGCAGCTGCCTTCCAGTAACAACACAAGGCAGAGGAGCAACGCTCACAATAATGAGCTCAGGGCTGGGTGGATAAAACACTGAGTTGGCAGAGGTGGGAGTACGGAACGTGTATTTGCCAATTATCATCTCAGTAAAACCATAACACGCGGGTCTGTCCCATGACTCCCTGCCAGTGAGCTTTCACCATTTCAGATGGATATAGGTGTACCAAGCCTGGCACAAGCACATACGTTACAAAATTGCCACTTAAGCGGCTGTTGTTTAAGTGCATGTTCACGTGTGTAAGCGTGCGTGCACGCGTGTACGTGTGGTCGGCAAGTGCTTGCACGAAGGTATATTTTTGGTAATTGATTTTTTGCCAAAGGCCCCACTTTGATGGCAGCTTTCTGTGGGTACACAAAATCCACGACCGGCGTTTAAAACCCTGCTGCTTTAACAAAATGCTCAGTGCCATCGATGCAGGTCTCTGCATTCCATTGCTACAGGGCACCACCCCAGCACAGCTGCAGTCCCCATCACAGCCTCGCGTCTCTACGTCATCACTCCTCCACCCTTTGATGGTTCCACTCTTGCTTCCGTGACAGAGTTATATGTCCATTAGTTTCCCTCTAATATGCCAAAGTTATCCTTTAAGTGCACTTGTTTTTTCTTTTCTAACAGCGACTACAACGAGCACAATTCCTGTTTGCGTTATCCCCACGTGTGTCTTATGGGATTATTAGAAACACATGCCTCAACATGTTTCTTTTAAGTGTTGATACATATTTTTTTAAATGCTTCAACGCGACTACTTGTTTACCGGCTTACGTTACGCCGGCACAAAAACAACGCGCGGATCACATGAACTCATCGCACCTTTCATAGCAACGCCGTCCAAAAGCGGTCGCATGCCATCGAGACACTACGATTATGAATGATGATACATAACTGGCAAAAAATAAAGACAGGATGTTTTAGGAACCTAGAATTAAAATGCACTGGCCATGTGGCACTTTGGTTCAAGTGCTCGACTCACAAACAAAAAGGTTTCCAGTTTAAATCCCGGTCGTGGGATGGTCATCATCTCGACAGGCGACCCTGATGAAATAATCAACATTCCACATTCCATTGACAGTGGAAAAATCTATACATTATGTACAGTATGCATGTTGAACTTCTTTCCCACCGTACGTAGCCAACCGTGCTAATCGGAGATGCGAGGGGGGGGGGGACAACAAACTAAACACAAAAACTAGTTTTAAAGAAATTAATTTTCAATCTAAATTTAAAAGTCCACAGCTGCAGTGCCTTCCTAATACCGGAAGAGCGTTCCAGGCGGCACCACCGTGAGGGATGGCAACGGCTTGTGGGGGGGGGGCCTTCATCCAGCAGTCGATAACGATGATGAAATGACGATGGGTCGAGTCAACCCCTTGGTAGCAGGAATGAAACTAAAAAATTACGATTGCAAGTTCAGCACTTTTAAGCCACCGCGCCGCACAACTGCGTACCAAATGGCTATTCCTGTTGCATTATAAACCTGCTTAGAACACGAAGCAGCGGGTGAGAAAAAAAAGGGTCGCTTCTCGGGACGCGACGTAACGACCGCCTTAGCAACTGCTCGTCTGTGAATAATCGCTGAATTAGCACCAGCCGGGAGGAGCACAATGAGATGTGTTGAGATACCGAGTGTGAGCCGTCAAGCAGCAACTTACGGAGTCAAGGATTTCGGTTTGCGCCGGACATGTAATGATTCCCCCCTTCCCATCCCTCTCCTCCGCAATTCAATGAGCCGTCATTATTCCACATCACGATTCGACTCACAATTACGTGCTATTGCCTTTGCGATGATTTGCAGATTTACGTGGGTACGACTAAAAAAAGGCTATCCACATGTCAACTTCAAGATTTTGGGTACCACGTTGTAAATTGTGGTCTTAAATAATTTATCTCCAAGTCACTGCCCCTTACTATCCTGTAGAAGCACCACTTCCCAAATTCTTTACGTACAATTTAAATATATATATCTGATAAAGGGGAGTGTTTGTAATGTACCTGAGGAGGTTTTTATAGGAAGTAATACATTCTTTCACACGCAATACAAAGAATATATCCTGACCATGCCATTGATTAAATGATCAAGAACGTGCCCGATCTTGTCAAGAGGCTAAGGAGGCTGCATCCTGGATAGTGCTTGTATGAGTGAGCACGACGCAGAAACAGGTTGTTATAGGCTGCGTGGTAGGCAGCAAAGGGCAGGTGCAGAAAAAATACATTGTTATACTGTACTTCTGCGCTCATATATGCTCCCTGCCTTCAACAACCCACACAAAGCAGTGTGGCAAAGTACAGTCAAATAACCCCCACTCCCTGCACGTTGTGGGCAAGCCGGCATCCAGCCGTGCAAAAACAAGCACAAGTTCGCCTTGACCATAAGAATACATTTCAATTGCTCAACAGTTACATCACTAAAGCCACGGGCGGAATCGGTGCCTCCTGCTTGGGCTGCGTTGGCAGCGAGCACTGGACATGCAGCCAGGTGGAGCTGTCCACCACTGTGACTATTGTGTCACGGTGGCGAGATGTTAACTATCTCGCCTGGTATGCAGGAGGTTTGTGGGTTCGATCCCGACCCCGACGCCTGCTGTATATTTGCGTGTTCTCTCCGTGGTCGCGTAGATTTTTCTTCCTCCACGTTTAGAATAAACGTGGGTTTAGAGTATTTTGCTGCTATACATTTCCACGTGATAAGCCACTTCGTTGAGCAATCGTTTGTGACCAGGTCGCTTCTGAAAAAGAGATTTATAGGTCAGTGGGCCTTACCTGGTAAAATAAAGAGTTTATTTTATTTCACTGTGTTCAGTGGCCATGCGTGCTGGGACTCTGAGTACAGGCAAATGCAGATTTATATTATGCATCCATTTACATTTGTGATCTTTCAAATGTTACCAACATTCCCGAACAAAAGTACAAAAGGAGCTCACTCAATCCCACCTCCCCTCCCCCATCCTCCCCATTCTTCAAAAAGTTAATTAAAATGCTGATTCGCGTCCAGAGAGCTCTATTTACATTTTAGTTACTTTTAACAAGAGCACAAGAGGCTGCTTCACTCTCTTCTCCCCACAGTACAAATATGATCTTTGTACTCATTACAAATCCTGTTTTTAAAAAAGAAATCACACAATACCTTCATTAGTCACGGACAACTTTTCTTGAGTTCTGATTTAATCACTG